ATCAGAATTTCGGTTGATGTTCTTTATTATTTTATTTTACTACTTTTGTTCACCTAATAAAACGCCCAAAACCCATTTAAGGTAGAGGGTTACTAATTCACAAATAATAATGAAAAAGGATTCTCTGAAGATCCATTATCGCGTACATCCTCAACTGACATTATATATATATATATATATATATATATATATATATATAAGCTTCTGACAAGGTACTGCGATTAAGCTTTTTATCTAATTTAATATACGACCCATCATTTCACTGATCCCTATGTCTATCTACAAACTCTCAAAATTCCTTAACGAAATCCTTACTCCACATTTACCTACCACTTATAGCATCATATGAACTCAGCAATTCCTCAAAATTCTAAAAACTATGCACCCAAACTACTATATGTGAATAAAGTGTCGCTGCCGACACTTGAGTTTGAACATAGATTGCCAGACCTAATAGTAAAAAAAAGGAAAAACCAACACTCAATAACATTAATTACAACCACGGGCACAATGTGCTGATCGTGTTTGGAAAATAATACATTCCTATAACTTCAGGCACATACATAAAACCCTACACATTCAGTTAAAAATAAAAATCGACCTTGACAATGGTTAATAGACGAAAGCGCTCGGATATGCAAAATATTTAGAGACTTTTTACACACTTTGTGTACAGAAAAGAAAACATTTGTACGAACACAAAAAAATAATAAATAAAAAGCTTAATCGCAGTGCATTTTCAGTCGTCTTTAACGAAACTTGTACAAAACTGTATTGTTGCCCAAATACACAACACACACACACACACAAACAAACACACACACACACACACACACACATATATATATATATATATATATATATATATATATATATATATATATATATATATATATATATATATGAGGAGGCACGGATAGCAAATCGGATTAAGAAATCAGGGAGCCGGGTTCGCATTCCAGCGTTGTGCGTTACATTCACTTATCTTCTAAACCCTTGGGAAAGGTATGAATCCTCTTCTTCTCCCTCCAGCCATGGGTAAATAGCAGGACAGGCTGGTCTAGGAAAAAGACAATTATGAATTCAAAACCTGCAGTGGGTGGTTTGCGGACCTTGTGGTACGTAGTGCACCAGGTCCCTCTATTCGTCCCATCAAAAGTGAGGTAGGTTCTGCACAAAGCCTTCACCCCTATTATCAAACCATATGTGCTGGTGTCTGGGCTGTTGGTTGCTAGGAACTAAGCTGCTTGACCATTGTACGTCGAATAAAACGAGAGAGGCGAGAGTACACCATATATATATATATATATATATATATATATATATATATATATATATGTATGTATGTATGTATGCATATGCATATAGACAGAGAGAGAGATAGTTATACACCCGTTTGTAACAATATTTCCACATTATGTCTTTAAATCTCAACTATCAACTGATGTTAAGTGTACCTGTCCTTTCTGTTTCCATTTTCTCTATATCGTTCAGTCCATGGTATTCTCAGCATCCTTCTGTAGAACCACATTTCCGTTGCTTTAAATCTTTTCTTCGTCTGTGTGGGGATTGTCCAGCATTCACTGTCATATAAGAGGACTTATATAACAGTCCAGTGTTCTCTACTCTTTTCTTTGTTTCTAACGAAATGTTCCTGTTTCTTAATACTTTGCTAGCTAAACGTAGTGTCAAAAGAAACAAAAGAAAGAAGTGTAGTCGACACAGCGCTTAATGATATGCATTACTTGTGCAGAATCGTCAAATGAATGTTTACCAATAAAGTCTAACACTACTGAAATTTAATGATGAAAACTTTCTTACGAGTGAAAAAAAGCTAGAAATGTTGGCCGAATATTTTTGCGAGATGTAGAATAAGGCAAAAGCTTCAATTCCAAAGCAAACATTAGGTCCTAAATTTACACTTTCTTTCAGCGAAGAAGAGACATGGATAGCCTTTAACTCCCTGAAGAATAGCAATCTTCCAG